CTGCTGAGACGGAAGCCAAGCAAGCCCTGTCGAGGAAACTTATATGGATTTTGTAGGTCGGTTATTCACTTTCTTTTCTCACAGTACAGGGAGCTTAGTTCATAGTGTTAAGAACAGAAATTGTATTTCCAGTAAGAAAACACAATAGTGTATATTGGAACTCAACACAATAGTGCATATTGGAGCTCACTTTTGAACTTTAGAATATGATAGAGCCTGACGGTACATAAGCAGGTCTATGAAACATCTATATTAACCACAATATGCTACATTTGGCAGATTAATCTGGGAGACAAATAAGGATCTCAGAAACTCATAGGGTCCAAGAAAGAGATTGCTAGGTGACTTGATTTTAAATGCCCCCCGAGTTTTTAGACATAGATATGTAAATGCATATACAAGTTTCCTCTGAAAGAATGAATGATGCTTCCCTCCAGAGAGAACAGATTAAACAGCATGTTTGTATGGAGGTAGACTTTACTTTCTATTCCTGTGCTATTTTATAATAGTTACACACTCATGTATTTCTCATGTAATTTTCAACACTTTAAAAGAATTACTTATGGCTAACACATTGATCATTTAGGGATAGAATGCTAGTCTAGGAGCCGAGTGATCTGCCAAAACCTGGCTGTGTCATTTAACCTAAAAGGTTCTCTACTGATTTGTAAAATGAGGTGGCTGAATTAGATCATTTCTTTGATTCTATGATCCTTCTGGGTAAATGGGAAAGCCAATTTGAATTAGATGAAGTCTAAATTAAATAGTACTTTAAAAGAAGTATCATTTTCTAACATTAAGGTAAACTGACAGTTTCTCCAAGTTATCCTTGCCATTTTGTTCAAGGTTGCAGAAGCTGCCTTTATAAATCAGAAGAATTTATAAAGTAGGGAATGCGAAGAGTTCTGTGATATTTGGGTTTATTTTCTGGTATCCCCTTTGGCATCCCAAGCCTTACAATGTACTATGTCCAGCAAGCACGTTTAGAGTTAAAATAGCTTGATGTGTTTTGATCATTTCATCAAAGCTACTGAAATCAATTCTATTCTTTCATTTTTTAGCTAGGTTAAAAAAAAGTTTAATTCTCCCTTGTTGAATGAACAGAACAGCTGGGGCTGGGTAGCTTTTTGTTCTCTCTTTTTGAGAGTGGGCTAAGATGGAAAGCTACTGTGTGAGGCATATCAGATTCTAGAGCACAACCAAAAGACCACATAAAGCAATTAGCCCATATTCTAAAAATGCAACAAGTAATAACTATAGAAACTTGTTAGAGACCTTTGTAATTCCCATTTCAAGGAAATACTTGAACTTCTAAGACTTAGATGTGAGAAGACCTGTTAAATCTTTCTGGAGCACCTGGACTTACTCATGTTCTGAGCTTGCTAGTGTCTTGTTCAGGAGAGGAAAGACTGGGCGTATGGCCTTACTTCCTACTCACAATGAGAATGGATTTCTGCCAGGGACCCTGGGGAGGGGTTGAGGGTGAAGAAGCCTTTGTCAGAAAGTCAGTTCAAGAAAGTGGAAGGTCTCATGAGGTCAGATTCATCCAAGGGTTGAGAAAGGTATCTGACGAGTCAGAGCCTCAGAAAATCATAAAGTGATCTAAATCCTGACCACAAACAAATGTAAATCAGAGACAGAGGGCCATGTAACTGCCTGTATCACTCCCATCCCCCTGGTCAGAGATGACACCCTCAAGGGACCCCTAAGGGCCTTTGTATTAGTTCCTGGAAGCCTCTCCTAAGTTTGAGGTTCCATCTGAACCAGAAGGACACATGAGGAAATGAGAGCTCGAGAGCCAAGCTGTCTGCTGAGTGGGCAGGCCACCCTGCCTCTGCTGAGCACAAAGCACCCCAAAGCCCACTGTAAAGCCCTGTTCTAAGACCGCCCAGACACGTCCCCTCTGAGTATTGCTCACATTTCCTAACAGACCAGCACACTGTCTGATAGTAAAGAAATAAACTATCTTGTCTCTTCTGCATGAATATAATTCCAAATCAAAGTGGAATTGCATTTTTCTCCTACATTCATAAAATAAGTTTGATAAAATGTTCTCATAGTTTCCTGCGTTTCTTTTTTAATATGACATTTTCTTCATATCACAGCTTTAGTACTTGCCTTAATATGGCAAAATAGTAGTAATTTCTGTACTGATTTCAGGGACAAATGCGCAATGTGATTTTTTAAACACTAATTTAAAGCAAATTTGCTAAGCATTTTTATTCAGTCTTGAGCCTAAAGTGAAGCTTGTACTTACGCAAACAGTAAGACGAATGCCTGGATTTTAGTAAAACAGTAAAAAAAAAAAAAAAAAAAAAACTAATTAAAAGTTAAGTAGATGGGGATTTAATCTCTTCAATTTAAAATCCCTTAGCTTAGATCTCTCATTAGAAGGCCTTCATAAAAACAAGCTGTAAACATTGTCCATAATTAAACACGAATATATGATCTAGGAAAAAACTTGGCCCTCAGGCCATATATATTTAAATATACAAAATTCCATTTGTAGTTGATTCTCTCGTTATTAGCTCCATCCTCCAGTGAAACGCATTTGTGTGTACAACTGTCTTGTTCCTATACCTCCACCAGGGATCATATTAAAAAATGCTTCTTCCCATAAACTGTGAAGTATTAATTGATAAGCCACAGGGAACTTGCACTACAGCATGTCCTTACCAATTCATAGTTTATGGGACTGAATTATTCATCGGCATCTTTTTACATGATGTCATTGCAACCCAAGAGCTAAGAGCTGTCAGAGCACCTACAGGATAGTGATGGAGAAAAAAGAATTTTACTTATAAACCAAATAGTCACCTCAACTTAATCCTTGTACTTCCCATACTCAATAATGGAGGCTTACTCTTAAGCCCTATCATTTCTGAACATGGAAGGTATTCATGCACACCCAAAATGGTCTAAATTAAGCTGCAATTCTGTGAGGTAGGAAAAAAACGCCTGGTTTGGGAGTCAGAAACTGTGAGCCTCAGTTGTACTTTACCTCTCTAGAATCATTTCTATAAATTCTAAAATGAGGGTTTGGATTAGTGAAGGGTTAAGATTTCTTTCAGCTGTAACATTTCATTAGGATTCTATAATGGTTAGAAAGTGTAAAGAAAGCAGCTGGTCTATTTTGATGCATGATAGAAATAAAAAAAAGAAAATATGATTTGCAATATTCAAGTAAACAATGCGTAATCTTCTCCCCACCCCCAAGCCTTTTGGTTCCCTTCCTGTCAGGTTTGGTATATGAAATTTTTGATCACTTAAAACAGCTGCAGTTTGTAATTAGAACAATTACCTGCTGGAGGGGTAAGAACATACAAACAAAATACAGGGACTCATCTCACCTCATGTATTCTAAAAACAAGAATTCTGAACAATGCAAGAATTTTTAATCACTACCCACTTGGGATGTTTTGAACTAATCAGTCATTCAGGTAATACTTTTAAAGTGTTATTCTACTTTGTGTTAAAAGAAGAATTAAGCCTGGTGTGGTGGTGCATGCCTGTAGTCCCAGCTACTCGAGAGGCTGAGGTGGGAGGATCACTTGAGCCCAGGAGTTTGAGTCCAGCCTGGGCAACATAGTCAGATCCTGTCCCTTAAAAAAAAAAAGTGCAATTAACCATAATTAAAATGTTCTACAGAAGAAATCTTACTATAGCAGAACTTTATACCATAACATCCTCAAACATAATAGTTCTGACTAAAACCAAATACCTTATAATTCTTCCCTCTCCTTTCTGCATTCCCTCCGAAGAGGAAGGGGTGGTGCTTATTTAGCATCTGGTTCATGGTCTGTGGATATCCTTAATGGCTGGTTTTGAATCATTTTCAAGGAGTCTGCCTTCTTGGCCTGGTATGGTAGCTCACACCTGTAATTCCAGCACTTTGGGAGGCTGAGGTGGGTGGATCACTTAGGAGTCTGAGACCAGCCTGGGAAACATGGAGAAACACTGTCTCTACTAAAAACAGAAAAATTAGCTGGGCGTGGTGGTGCATGCCTGTAGTCCCAGCTACTTGGGAGGCTGAGGCGGGAGGATCACCTGAACCTGGGATGTGGAGGTTGCAGTGAGTTGAGATCGCACCATGCCACTGCACTCCAGCCTGGGTCACAAAGCAAGACCCTGTCTCAAAAAAAAAAGATTTCTGCCTTCCTTTTATTTCATTTTTATTTCAGAAGAATGACAGAATTAACTGGAACTAAGTCTAGCTTTTGTTTTTTCCTTCTCTTTAGCAAGTTCCTTAGTTCCTTCAGTCCTTCTGCTATGTGAGCAGGGTGTTTATAAAGACAGATGATTTAAAGATGACTGAAGACAGATGTTAAATTTGAACGGTTTCTTACTTCCCTAGTTTCACAAGTTAGGGTCTTAGAAGTTGCCAAGCAACTTCTAAGGATGCTCCTCTGGGACCGAGGTGAGTTAATGCACAGCCTTGTACTTGCTAAGGGGGAGGGGAGAGAGACTTGGGGATCTGCATATGGGTGTGTCATGGCGTGCACAGGTGCAGAGAGGAGCAGGGCCCAGTGTTGCCCAGCTTTCCTGAACCATACTTCACCACCTTGGCTAGTAAGAGCCACTTGCACTCTGTCCAGAAAAACACAAAAGTATATATACTTAGCTGACAATGAAGGTACAATTTCAAGTGAGGAAAAACAAGAAGAGGGGCTGGAGGAAGCTGAGAATAATAAAGGTATAGTAGTATTCTTGACTTTTTGGGAAAAGGGTTGGTTTCTGTGTGTGAGGGGAATGATGTAAATATGAATAGTGGTGATACCATACTCCCACTGCAGCGTATTTTACGTCACGGTGAAATCTGTTTCTGAGAGCTACCCAATGTGGAACTCTTACTTTTTAAAAAGCTATCGTCTGTAGAAAGAAGATAGGTACTGGCAAAACACTGCCCTCTCAAATATGCTGACTCCACAGAGAACGGAGTATTTTACAACCTAAGCTGAAACACAGGATGTAATTCAGAAATCATTCCACAGGGCTGAAAGTTTCAATGTGATAAATTATTATTTTTAAACTAGGGTCACTGAATAAAACCTAACCCTGGTAAATAATGGGCTCTGGACGTTACATCTCATGCCACCATATACAGGCAGAAGACACAGTATGTCTATGTGACTTGTCATTTCATTTGTAACAAAGTGCTAGATCCTAATGGAATTACATTTTTCATACGATATTTAATGTAATTATATTAAACATTTAGTCACCCTCACATAATTATTTAAGGGCCTAGTAGATGAAATTGTATTTCACAGAAACAAGGATAAGTTGAGATGGAGACACAGTGCCTATGCTCGGAAGTCACTGGAAAGCACCTGATCACCATAGTAAAGATGGCCAAGGGCTTCTGACCTGATTAAAATAAGGAGTCATATAAGAAATGGCTTTATTAGAAAAAATGTAGTGTACACATGGCTAATTTCTATCATCGATATACCTCTTGGCTATTTTATCATTAAAATTGGATACAGGGTTTGAACTTCTTTAGAAGTTAGTGGCATATCTTCCTATTCTGATATGTGACTTAGGGAAGGCGTTATCTTCATGTGATAGACACCCTTTATTTCTTTTCATAATTACAAGTAATCAGTAGTTTAGCACTGGCACAAAACAGAGAGAGTATTACTTAGGTAGTGCTTTATGTGTAAGAAGTCACACTTCCAACCCCAGAATCAGGCACAGGTATGCCATCTGTAGAGTTTTAAAATCCCCTATTATCACTCAAGTCTCCCATTATTATTATTACCTAGTAGTAATTAAATTAATGTGATAATCTGTAACCTAACAAAACCTCTGAATGAAGTTTCTTTCTTCTCCCTCTTTTCCTGTTAGATGTGCAATTCCGAGCAAATGTGCAGTGTGCAGTATTGATTTCCAGCCTCCTTTTAAACTCCTTCAAGTCTGTGCTATTAAACGGAGACAACCACATCAAGATAGAGTCTGTCATAGGATTCCCTGAAGCACAGAATGAGGAGGAGACTAAGCAAACACGACCCGGGAAGGCACCAGTTGAACCAAGACAACTCTGTAAGACAAAAAACATGCAGTTTTAAACATTCATGTATCACCAGCAGACCACCACCTGTATGCCGGAAGGGGTCTGCTCTGCATTGAAAAGTACTTATAATAAATGCATCCTGGAAGGCCTAGAAACTGACTTTCAATAAACAGTGACAATCTGGAGACTAAGTGATGTGTGTAATATATGACGGGGCTTCCATGTGGAATATTTTTAATCAATATTGTTCATAACTTTTCATCAATTTAATCCACCTTGACTTTGGTTACAAAATAAATTACTTCAAAGAAAAAAATCAATCACCTTTAAATGTTAGTTTGATAATTATTTTTTAAGTGCCCTCTATCACATCACCTGTCCCTGTTTATAAACAGCTGATGGATTAAAAAGACAAATACGAAAATCACCTGAATTTTGGGATAACACTTGTATATATTTTGGATAGAAGTATCTATTTCTCAGCAAAAACATTAAGTAGAAATCACCGTAAAATAGATTAGAAAATATATTTAAAAATAAAACATACAAAAAAATCAATCATAATTCTGCCCCCAAAGAGATCACTGTGAATATTTTGGCTTATTTCTTTCTAGTCTTTTTCTATACCAGCATGAATGGTTATGTATGATACCAATTACTGGAAAACCTATAGGCATCATCTGAATAGGCAATTCTGTTGTTGTTTGATTTAATGTGTCAAGAACATGGTTCTTCAGAAATGCTCTCATGAATTCAGGACTCTCCAACAAGACAATCTTGAGCCATTTGCTACGAACACACACTGACCACTGCGGCTGCCTCTAGCTGCTTCCTGGAGCTCCGGGGACCCTAGGGCTGTGCATCTGTTCAGCCTTCCTCTACCCCAATCCCATCTGCCAGTTAATCCCAAGACTCTGAAGTGAATAGCTCCTTGGCATAAAGAGGTTGGTAAAGGTGGTGGGGACAACGTTTCTAGTTTAATATCCATTCAGCAGTTTCAATTAAAAAAATAAACGAGGAAAATAAGCTCCTTGGTGCCTTTTTTCTTTTTTGGTCACTGTTATGGGTTTGTATTTTCCCTTTGTACTTCTACAAAATGCTAATTCTGCCTTAATCTTCAAAAGTCATCCTAAAGATTTCCACACTGCTGCTTTAGTTTAATCCATAATTCATATGGCTAAAGGAGCAATTTATGCTCAGGAACGGAAATCAGAAGACTGACTGGCAAGAAAAGGTGCTACAATACCTTTTTTTTCTGTAATATGCTCACAAATATAGTCTCCCCACCTCTCAATTACTATGTTTTAAAAGTCAGACATGCTATTCTATAGCATGTAACAAAGACATGTATTTCAATGGTATTTTTATGCAAAGCTGTTTTCTCTGCTTTACTTGGATTGAACATAGTCTAAATACTCAGAGAAGCTGTGATCTATGAGATCTGGTCTTCATTCTCATGTTTCCTGAAATGACACACTGGGCATTTTCTGCTTTTATGTTGACTATAGAACCCCTGGATTTCTGATAATTTTACTAGTCAAAAAGAAGTAGTAAAAAATTAAAAAGCAGTAAAATATAGACAATAGCATTTTGTTTGTATTAAAAGGGAGAACTTGGACTTCAGGGTCGAATTTCAAGCAACAGATAAGTATGGTAATTGACAAAACGGTTTACAACAATGACAGTTGCTAAATCTTAGAGACTGTATTTTATGGGGAACGAAAGCAACACACATAGCAACAATCAGCTTGTCCTTGCTTTTCTTAAACTGAGAAACTTGTCAAATATTGCCAAAACAGACCTTTTATTTCAGAGTTATTATTAGAATTGTAAAATCATTTCTTCTACATAGCTTCAGATGAAATCTCTAAAAACGTCTCATAATTGCTCTTTAGCGCCACGGTTTGTTGACTGGTTTTTACTGTGTTCCTCTCTCTGAAAAGTCAAATCCACTTCTCAGTAAATGCGCTTGTCTCGGTCAACTGCAAGTGTTCTTTGAAATTATTTGCCTTTTTAGAAAGCAAAAGGTCAGAGATAGAGGAACCTCTACATTTTCCTGCTGAAAACCATTCACATAAACCACTGTTTAGGCGCTCTAATAAGCAAGGAAATAACTTGCCTAAAAATCTAATTTGACTTGGCAGTAGCAAAGTCAACTGCTGTCCTTTCTGATCCTGATGTAGATGAACTAACAGAATCCTGAGCCACTGACATTTTCGTATTATAATTCTTTTCAACTTTTAAAAGAAGCATGGTTTTCTAATACTCCTTCCCTTTGCCTTTCACTAGATAAAATATAAATCCACACTTGAAGGCAGGCCCCTACAGTCTGCCCCATACTTCCGCTGGGCCACTATTGTCTACTACACAGCAGTCGCAGTACTCATTCTGCCAACTTACAGTTTAGACAGGTGCTCGACCTTACTCAGTGAAGTGGGCTCTGCACTAAATGATGAGGCTCTGTTGGGACTGAATTAATTGGGATTTTGCTCATCCTCTTACCTTATTCTTCTGGAAGCACTTCATCTTTCCCTTCAGTGACGCCATGCTTTCGGTTTCTACCACTTATAAGTACTTGTCTGTTTCCAGCTACCATCCTCCAGAAACAACTTCCTATTTTCTTCTATGATGATTTAATAAGATTGTTTCCTTTCTCACTCAAGGTAAGCAGCCAGCTGACCCCATGATTTCCCAGGATAATGCCCTGCTATCTTCATTCCACATCAATTACCCTGTAGATTTTACCATCACATTCCATTATTCTAATTCTTAGATATAAAATTACTTCTCACTAGTCCACATCTGTTGAACCTGCTCTTTGTTTTCCTGGTAACCATTAGTCAACGCCTCCCACCTCTGCCAGGCCCCTGAATCTTTTGAGTGACAAAACAGCTTCACATTCATGGTCAGCCACTTTAAAATGAAAGGACTGAGATAAAAATCGTGATGCTTTTAGCCAAAACCCACTGCAAAGCTTCTAGAACAAAAAGTAACAGACAACACAAACTTCAGAATATTAAACAGAATACATTTCAGAGCACATAAAGGATATAAGAGCATTCTCAAATTGATTTTTCTATGTAACGTTATTAGAATAAAGCATCACCATGCTATATCAACTCAATGAGATTCTCAAAACAAACACAGGAAGCAACTCAGTTTTACAAATATGCTTATATTAGGGAGCAAGTAACAACATTTTTTTTGAAAGTGACCTTGAAAAATCCAAGTCAGTAAAACTCTAAAAAACTTCTGATAAGGTTCCAGGTACCCAAAGCAGAATTGAAATAGGACGTGGAGACCCTGTGACCCAGGGGTCCAAATAAGCCAGTGGCATTGGTAAAGGAGCCTGAATCACATTTGCCCTCAATGACTGCAATGGCTCTAATCTGCAAGCAAATCGCCAGCAGAACCTAGCTTGCTAGGCAAGGCATTCTATTGCGGTCATTTTGGGGTTAGTCTGTATAGCCCTAAAAATTGTCTGATGTATTCACTTATCAGATAGCACACTGTAGGGGGAAAAACCCTAGTCAGGAAGTTTAGTACTTCCTTGAAAAGTGACTTAAAAAACCACAGATCCTTATGATGATTAAAATTCAGGACTTCTAGGCGGGGTGTGGTGGCTCATGCCTATAATCTCAGCACTTTGGGAGGCCAAGGCAGGTGGATTGCTTGAACCCAGGAGTTCAAGACCAGCAAGGGCAACATGGCGGAACCCTATCTCTACAAAAAACACAGAAATTTAGCCAGGTTTGGTGGTGCATGCCTGTGGTCCCAGCTACTTGGGAGGCTGAGGTGGGAGGATCACTTGAGGCTGGGAGGCTGATGTTGCAGTGAGCCATAATGGCGCCACTGCACTCCAGACTCGGTGACAGAGCAAGGCCCTGTCTCCCCCTATCCCTAAAAAAATCAGGCCTTCTAATCACATAATAGTTGAATTTTGACATATAATTAACTTGTGGGTGAGTTTTCAAGTTTCAAAATAACTGAATAATGACGTATGAACACTAGCTTTAATGGAAGGGGATTCAGTTTATCATATAAAATGTTTAGGGTACTAGGCTGCAGAACTAACAGTTATTGTTAGGAAACAGTTTTACAGAATTTTTAGATTTGCAATTTATGTATAATCATACCTCAGACCATAAAGAATATGGACCTCTGCTGTAGGACTTTTAGGGCAAGATCAATTAATCCTACTGAAAACAGTTTCAACACAGATTTCATGGTTTTAGTAACTTTAGCCCTAGAGAGATGTGGACGATGTTTTCGTGTATTCATTATGCACACTCATAGATACACATATAAAAGCATTTCTTTGCAATGGAAGACTAGATATTTAAATTCCTAGCATCAGTCAGCTAATTATCTAGAAGAAACAAAACAAACATTGGTGGGTGCCAGCTGTGCCCTGGACTAGGCTCTTTCACAGGTATCTTCTCATTAACTGCCTAAATGTCAAAATTTAATGAGACCTTTTTCCTGGAAACCACCTTGGTGGATTAAAATTAATGATTATTTAAAGTTTCATAGGGTACTATGCTCACTACCTGGGTGATGGGATCATTTGTGTCCCAAACCTCATTGTCATGCAATATACCCATGTAACAATCCTGCACGTGTACTCCTTGAATCTAAAATAAACATTGAAATTATTTAAAAAATAAGTTTCACTTTTGTTCACAATAGTCACAAAGTTTAGGTGGAAACTTTTTAACATCTATATAGACACGTATAAGAATACATGGTCAGAAACCAACCAAAAAGAGGGAAGTTTTGTTTCTCCCAGCTAGATGAATCCTTGATTATATCAGAAATGGGCAGAAATAGTACTAAGTGTTTCTTCTGCTCCTTCTGCCAAAGAAATAGAATATCTGCTTGTATCTGGTCACTATGAATTTGCAAAATGAGGAATGAGCACTGACTGACGTCAGTTCCATTTAATTCACTCCAGACACCAGATGCTGTTAAACAAGTCAAAACTGCAGCAGGACCCAGGAGAGTGACAGAGATAAGCTACTAGCCAGGCAAAATGGTCAGGTGTGCACGGAGCTCTGTTGCAGTAAGACAGTTTAGGGCAGTTTCCATTATTGGTGTCTTCCCTGCCTTAAACTGATCAATAAAAATGTGTTTGTTATATACTAGAGACCATAAGCAAAAGATGTATTGGGAGATAACATTATCTGGCATCTGCTGTTGTTCTTTTTAAATACTGGGAGGACAAAACTCTATTTCTAGCTGACAGAAAAAACCATGCTCTGCTGGGCGGCACCGACCACTAAGCAAAGCTGTGCCCACCGGCTGGAAAACTGCTTCTACCATCCCAGGGGGCATCACAGCCATCTCCGATGCTTTACCAGACAGACAGGCAATAAGCCACTTAATTTAAATTGTGATATAACTGAAGTGGACTAAAGCTGATATGTAACGATTGTCAGACCACGCTGTTGAGAAAACTAATTGGAAGCAAAGAACCTGATTCCTGGTGACGGCGCTTTTCCCAAATGGAAGCACGTGTTTCCAGGACAACAAAGAGTGGTCTTCTGACTTCATTAATATCACTCTCCTTCATATGATAAACCAAACTTGTATCAGGTTTAGCAAAGACCTACTTTACCTGCATTACTGATTGACAGCAACAATCTAATGCACTATTCATTATATTAAGAAATTCATCTATCCTATGGACACTTTGTGCTGGTGGGTGAAAGTGCTATGCCAGAAGTTGTCCAAAACCCAGGGAGGATTCTGTTTCATACTGGCTTTGCAAGTTTCTGGCCAGGTGCAGCGACTCATGCCTGTAATCCCAGCACTTTGGGAGGCTGAGGTGGGTGGATCACTTGAGGTCAGGAGTTCCAGAACAGACAGGCCAACATGGTGAAACCCCATCTCTACCAAAAACACAAAAATTAGTCAGGCATGGTGGCATCTGCCTGTAGTCCCAGCTACTCAGGAGGCTGAGGCAGGAGAACTGCTTCAGCCTGGGAGGCAGAGGTTGCAGTGAGCTGAGATGGTGCCACTGCACTCCAGCCTGGACTGGAGATTCTGTCTCAAAAAAAAAAAAAAAAAAAAAAAAGTTTCAAAATTTGTTTTCCAGTCAAGGAGGTTAGCATGGTTATTATTTCAGTTATAACCCTGTCAGAAACATTCCTATAAACAATTCGGCCTCTTGGAGGTTGCATTTTAGAGCATTCCTTACATTGGGTGACTTCCTCTCGTTCATCAGGCTTTAAACTCCATATACACCCCTAACATTAAATTACACCCTGTGTTGAGAGAGATTCCAAGTAGTTTTTAAAAAGCAATACACCAGAGGTTCTCAATGAGAATCTGCATATTTGAATCACCTGGGCTCCAGCCCCGGTTAATTAATTCAGAAACTCACGGGGCGGGGAGTACAGGGCCGGGCCAGGGAAAAGCGAGGGTGCACTTGAGCTAGAATGCATTTTAAGAAAAGCAATTGAGGAATTTTTCTTTTACTGGCAATGCAAGCTCACATTAAGTAATTTGCCTTAGAGACTTCTCCATATAAAAACTTCTATACTGACCCAAACTTTTCTTGTAACACATTTAGACAGTAAACAAAAAATCAAATTTCTTACCTGTGTGATAAAATGTGAGAAAAAATAAAAGTACTCCCATAAATATATTACTTAAAAAAGTGACAACTCCACAAGTAATTCCTTCTGGGACTGGGTAGACAGTTTCCACAAAAAGCTCAAAAAATATAGGTACACTGCTATTCAAGAACACTCCCAGGAGAATACAGGAGGCATACAACGTCACTAAAATAAAAACACAAACATTTTAGTTTCACGGTAGTGGCCAGGCGTCATATCAGACAGATCTTTGGGGTGTTCTCTTTCCCAAGTATTGACTCAAAAATGTCTTCTATTTTCAAAGGTAGTTGATAAAGTTCGACAAAGTTTCACACGTCTGCCAGCTCTCTGCTGTGGTTTTCTGGAGTAGACACAACCCATTTTATTGCTGGATGGGTACCAGTTTATTTCCTTTATCTTTCTGGTGGATTATTCCAGAGCACAAAACAATTTACCACTATCATATAATTAAAAGGATTCTTCTCCTGCTTGGTCACACTCCTTCGGACTCGTTCCATAATTTTAGAAAGAGAATGTAAAATCTAAGAATAAATGTCAGAAACATTAAATGTTACTGAAAATTACATATTTAAAGAGATTGGTTAATAATTGCTTTCAAGCACAAAATAAACATTATGCAGTATGTAATTTCTTGAGAAACACAATGGAATTAGTCCTCAATTTTGGAATGGGTTTTAGGTCAACATTTTTTTTTTAATGAGTAACTTTTCTGAAACACAGAAAAAGATTCCATCCAGAAATGTACAATTAATAGTGACTAGGATCCCCAATCAAACCATAAAAAGTCTATTAACACTATTCTGTGGCAAAATCTATTGAATAAGGATGTTATTCTTATAAGAAAGTCTGGGGAAATATACTACAATTAATTTTATCATTGCTACTACTGTCTCTCTATAAACCTTTGTTAATTTTAACTTGAAGGTGAAAACAGAACCTGAAAGGAAAAAATGATACCCTATTTAGAAACCTAAAACATGTCTCTATATCCTAATAAGTATATCATATTCACTGATAATAATGAGTAGAATTTATCCTAAGTTTAAGGTTACAAGGAAAATATTTTTAATAAAAATATTTGTTAAGGAAAAAACAATCCTGTATGGGAATTGCAGAAAGTAAGGAAGTTACATTAAATCTGTTATGTATTATTCACACACTCACAGAACATATCATATTACCAAAGTTTACCACAACTGATGCAATCATCAACAGTCCATGACATTGTTGAAGGGGTAAAAAAAAAAAATAATAGTATACACTGATTTCTAATAGAATTTCTCTAATTAACCTCCACTCTTGCTTCCCCCTCCAATTACATTAGTCTTTGGGGATTATAAAATATTTAGTATATTCTGATAATACAAATAGTTGGTAATTACTTTGACTGTTTCTTTGAATAGAAGATTGATATGGAAATAGATAACAAAAGAATCACTTAGTGAATAAAGAACATACTGCTGGCTAAGGCAGTGACCAAATTATGTTAACAATTACTTGGGAAGCATCTGATAGCTATGATAAATACCATTTAAAATGTGACATAATTTTCAAGAGATTCTTAAAAACAAAACATAATACTTCATGGTCACTATATATCTGCTAGATATAGATCATATAAATCATCACATTTTCTACTTACATATGACTCATTAGTGGTACATTAGGAAATCTAGGGATGGAATATCACTGGTGGCTTCTATAGAGTATTGTATTTCCAAAACATTTTAGAATTATTTATTTACTATTATTATTATTAAGATGGAGTCTTGCTCTGTTGCCCAGGCTAAAGTGCAGTGGTGCGACCTCGGCTCACTGCAACCTCTGCCTCCCGAGTTCAAGTGATTCTCCTGCTTCAGCCTCCTGAGTATTTGGGATTACAGGTGTGTGCCGCCATGCCAAGCTAAATTTTTTTTGTATTTTTAGTAGAGATGGGGTTTTGCCATGTTAGCCAGGCTGGCCTCGAACTCCTGATCTCAAGTGATCCACCTGCCTCAGCCCCCCAAAGTGCTGGGATTACAGGTGTGAGCCACCGCGCCTGGCCTAGAATAATTTATTGATCAAGCTGGCATGACGGCTCATGCCTGTAATCCCTTTGGGAGACTGAGGCAGGATTGCTTGAGCCCAGGAGTTCGAGACCAGCCTGGATAACATGGTGAGACCCTGTTTCTCCAAATGATGATGATAATAATAATAATAATGATAATAATAATCAAGTTATTTTTTAAAATAAAAATTTGTTGATCAGTCAGTGGTAGTCAGAGGAAAGAGAACCATTGACCCAAACATAGATGCGCCTAAGAGTTTAAAACAAGAAAATACTGAAGTAAATAACAGGAAAAAAATCAAGCTCTTAAGGACCACCAAGTGCTACTTCTGAGTAAAGATTCCCAAATTCCAATGGAATTAGCTGTTTTTAGGAAACATGTTTTGAAACAATACTTTCTACATTTTTATTTCTGAAGGAAATGTACTCCTACATATAATTTATAATCAGACAAATTAAAATGTAATAATTGAAAAATAATCACAATCTGGTTAATAGAATAATTCTATGTGGTAAAATAATAAAAATATAGTAAGAACACACTGAAAGAGAACTGTCAATATAGAGTCTCGAAAAGAGAGATTTGATTTTAATGATTTTTTTTTTTTTTTATCAAGCACGGTACAAAGAAAGAGGGATGGGATGTGTCGGAAGAGTCTAGTCTCTTCTGACACATCTCACGGGGAAGCAGTGGACTCTGTCTGAAAACCCTGAGACCTCAAGACCATACAACTCCCTTGGCCCTCATTTCATGCTTATTAAGAATCTTTGGATTTTGGCTTTCTATGTATCTAAATCCTGGGAGGAACTTGGAAGATGAGGGATAAATAACTGTTGTTGGAAAGATACAGTTTTTATTGTGGTTAAACATTCCTGATGGAACTGTAAATAGTTCATCTTCTGGTGAGTAATTTGGAAATGTCTATCAAAATAAATGATGTAATTACTCTTTGACCTAGCAATTTCATGCCTAGGAATTTATCCTACTGCTATGCAGGTATAGGTATACAAAGAACACTTACCAAAAAAAATGTAGTATGAAAAGATTCAAAATAAGCTAAATAACTCCCAATGGGGCAGGGGGGTGTTGGTTGGTTAAAAATTTATAAAACATCCAAAGAGATATTATACAATTAAAAATGAGGCACCTCTGTATGTATTATAATAATATTAATAACATCTAAGATACATAAGTGAAAAAGGTGCTGAAAAGTATGTTATATTAAAATAAAGGACACATACACATTATCTGTCTGTAAATACACAGAATTCCCTAGGAGAATACAGAAGAAACTGGCAATCAGATTTGCCTTTAGAGAGGAAAACTGGGGGTCACAAGAGAGTAGCGACTTTTCACTCTATACTCTTTTTCTACTATTTGAATTTGAATTTTTTTACTATGTGTATAGCTTAGTTAACAGAATTAAAAGAAATTTCATGATGAGCAAATGAATGGACAAGGGACACAACTCCACTTCATGTGAGTTTGTGAGCTGATGAGCTCAGAATTGGTTATCACCAGGTGAGCTGACCCAAAGAGCTGATGTCTATACCCAGGAGCCACATAACATAGCCTTGGCGCAGAATCCTTGACATGAAGATTCCCACTTCATTTGTTAGAATTCCTATATATGGAGGACAAATGGGCTACTATATGTAGGATAAATGGATGATATAACTTCAGAGGCCAGTAATCAAAAATTAGGTATTTTCATTCAATTGTCTCAGTATTGGTGTTTGCTTCTTTATTACTATAAAAGTAATGACCAAGAGGTTTTTATTACACTGGGTAGACATGTGGAAATCACTTGTTATTGCAATAAGTAAACAATGATAATAATTTACCCAGGAAGGGGTTAGATTAAGATCTTCATCTTCAGAATGGGGGAAGGTAGTTGTGTCAGGACTGATTTAATATATTCCAGTGTTCTGGGGCATGCATAAAGCAGATGCTGATTATTCCAAGTCTGAATTTGACTTCCATTTGAGTTTTCAGTTTAGAGTCTCATACATTCAGTGGGTGAATGTCATCTATTAAAAGTCAGGCAGACAAGATAATTTCCTGCTTGTCATGGAGGGTTCAAACTACATGATCATTAAATATTTCCATAACTTTGTATAATACTGATACTAAAATTATAATCAACTGCCTTTCAATTAAAAATTCAAGGTAATTCAGCAGAACAAACACAACTCAAGTGCTGATGCAGACTTTTTTTCTAATAAAAAGCTAATAAAATTTCATGGGCCTACACTTTAAATTGCAAAAAACAAAGTCCTGTGCAGCACAAACTACAGTTAAAAATGAATGTATTTCAAGCACATGACTTGGATCATAACCCTGAAAGTACTCCTTCCCACTCTTGTTCCTGCAACAAACCAAATTACTAAACTTTAGGGAAATAAAACTATGTATGAATACATTTTTTTAACTATAGTTACACTAAAAACTTAGGGGATCAGTGGTTATAAAACAAATCACAGATAAGAATAAGAACTATTATATCAACATCTAATGAGATTCTCAAGGCAGCAGTAACAATTGCAACTTCATAATCTTGGATTTATATAATTTCTAAAAATATTTTAAAAACTGCTTTCGCATATATTATCTTATTTGATTATCCTATCAGCTCTTTGAGTCAGGTAAAGTATTTTACAGTTGAAGTGACCAAAGTTCTGAAAGTAAAAAAACAGCTTATTTAGAAACACTGTAAATTAGCAGTGCTAACAATATGATTAAGGCCTACAGACTCTCTAGCATGTTTTCTGCCAATTCACTGTGTCAGAGTGAAAAAAAAAAAACAAAAAATAACAAGGCCTGGTATTTTTTAATCCAATGGTATTGACACAAAAGGCATATTTCCCAAATCCGTATTCAGCACAAAAGCTGGAAGTGACTGCACATTATATGACAGAACCAAAACCAAAGAACATCAAAAGGTTACAAACAAAAAGATGAATTTTAATCATGATAAATATAAAACTGGCCCCAAATGTCTAAGTATAGAAGAGGGAAAACTTAGCTTAAGCCTTTCTTCAAAACGACTTATCAGATACGTATTATGTGGAGGCTGCTATGTTAGAGCAGTAAATACCTCAGATCACTCTTACTCTA